TGAAATCACATCACCCCCTGTTCTGGGTTGAATGGTGTCCCTCCCCACAACCACAGTGATGCTGAAGTCCCAACCTCCAGTTCCGGTACCATGGGTCTTACGAGGTCTTTGCACCATGGAGTCAAGTGACGATGAGGTCATCAGTGTGGCCGTATATTGGGGTAACTGGTGAGAAGAGGGGAGGAGACAAACACGAGAAGAGGCATGGAGGGGCAGCAGCAGAAACGGAACTTAGAGCCAAGGAACCCCTGGCCACAGAAGCTGCAGGAGGGGGAAGGATCCTCTTCTAGAGGCTTCAGAAGGAGCATGGCCCTTCCAACACCCCCGACTCCTAGCCTTCAAAAGGAGAATGTGACAGAATACTTTTTTATTTGAGTTGCCTGATTTATGATACTTTGTTACTTTAGCCTCAGCAAAGGGAGACACCTTCTGTGATCCACAATTGTATGTGTGGCTGAGCCACGAGACACAGCTGTTTGGTCTAAGTATTCTCATAAAAGTATCTTTAAACGTGATTACAATGTAAATCAGTGATCTATGAGGACAGCGGAGAGCCCTCCATAGTGTGGGTGGGCCTCACCCAATCAGTTGAAGTCCTGAAGGGGGGGGGGGGAAAAGATTGAGGTTCCCCGAGGAAGAAAGAATTCTGCCTCCAAACTGCCTTGGAACTTGAACTATAGCAACAGCTTTTCACTCCATCTCAGTCTGCTGGCCTGCCCTGCACATTTCAGTCTGCCATCCACAAGCACGGGAACCAGTGATCTGGCCAGATGTCACCCTTTGTGGGCTCTGACATCAAGGACTAGGACTGTTGTGAGGTACCCAGCAGGTCTCTCCTCTCCTCTCCTCCCCTTCCCTCCCCCCCCCTCCCCTCTCCTCTCCCCTCCCCTCCTCTCTTCTCCCTCTCCTCTCCTCTCCTCTCCCTCTCCTCTCCACCCACATTCTCTCCCCTTGGTTCTGTTTTTCTGCAGAACCCTAGTCAATACATCCCTCATTCCGAAACGGTCCCCATTTCCTGTAAGTGGGACCTGGTGGTTCCCTCGGGGGTTTCTCCCCAGATCTGGAGGAGGACAAGCACACCCACCTGGCTGCCTTTTCTGCTGCCAGCATCTTGCACCTGGGGTGGGCGCCCCACGGCTCCTCACTGCTGTGTGAGTCGCAGGAGCCTTCTAATTGGGAATCGGTAGCGGCAGAGCAGATGCCAACACCCTCCCCGGCTCAGGCACCAGCATTCTGCCCCGGCCCTGCGACTGCCAGGGGATCTGGGTCGGGGCCAGGCTTGGACCCAGGATCATGCACATGTAGGGAACCAAGCTGCAGTTGGGGCCTCGCCTCCAGGGTCTCCCCTGGCCTGGAGCCAGCCTGAGCCAAGGAGAGCAGCAGAAAGGCCTGGAAGTTCCCTGGCCTGTGGGTCAATATGAGTGGACGTATAATGCACAGTGCAGATGGATGTGCGGCAGCCTGCCACGCAGGCTCAGCCACCAGATTCAGGACATGGAAAGTGGCCAGAGAAACAGCTTAACCAGGAAACTCCAAGAGATTCAGAAATCATGAGCCAGACTCCGCACAGGCGGGCACCTGGGACTGGCACCCACTCCACACCTCTACATTTCTTTCTGGCCCCTGAAGTTCTCTCTGTCCCTCTCAAAGATTGACAGCTTCAGGACAGCTTTGCCCGGACCACAGTGCTCAGAGTGGCAGGACCCTTTCACCACCGCCCATCAGGGCATGAGTTTGGGATTTGAGCAAGTAGAGAGCAACTGTCCCCATTCTCAAATGGGACCCACCTGGCGCAGAGGGAGGTTGAACGTGCATGAGGCACTTCTAGCCCGTGGTTCCCTGTCACCCCAGTTGGTGTGGTGTGTCTACGCAATCTGACCGAAAGGCTGGACCCTGCTGCCACCCATAGTGACCCTGCACATCAGGGATTGGGGCTTTTTTGTGGTAATTAGCAGGTCTTTCAATGTCTCTGGAGAGGAGCAGGCAAGGTACCCCTCTCTCCACCAGCCCACGTGCAGGCGAAGCCCCTCCCAGCTCTGCCCCAGGCCCAGGCTGCCCGTCACCGCCAGCCCTCACCTCGCTTTAGCAGGTAACCAAGAAGCTTCGGCCTGGAGAAGAAAACCCTCAGCCGATGAAGAGTTCACAGCGTGGAGCGCACAGTTGGCAGTGCCCATAACTCACGCTTAGTTTATTCTCACCGATGCTCACTGTTAACCTATCGCCTGAGTTTCAGCCACGCTGCAAATGTCATCTGTCCGGGAAGGAAAAGTGGTTGTTTGTTTCTTGGTGTGCAGGGAGATGGAGCTCCCTTACAGATATTTAACATTATGTGGACAGGTAACCCAGAACCTGAGAGTGGAGTAGATCCGTGGTGGACCTTGGAGTTCTCCTGTCTCTCAGGTGGGGTTGGGCAGAAGAGGAGGCTGAGCTTGTGTTGGTGCTCACAAGCTCACTGTTTTTTGGGGGGAATGATTAAAATCTAGATTGTGTTCATTTAGGGGCTTGGGAGGGACTGGCGGTGATTGACTGGAGGAGGAAGTGCTGCCTCTTGTCCACCTAAGTTTCCCATAGCGCTGGCATCAGTCCTCAGGGAGGCTTTAGGGCAGCAGGGCACCAACCACCCTTCCCAGGCTTTCCACAGAGCTGTCCAGGGTTCTGAAATGCAGCAGAACAGGCACAGACCCCAGACTCAAGGCACCAGGGTCCCTGGGTTTGGCCTGCCCAGAATGGGAGGTGGGCATACAGCTTAGGGCACACTCACAGGCGCCACCTAAGATCGGCTCTGGCTTTGTAGGCTGATGTGGCCAACGGGTCGGGAGTCTCACCTAGCCCTGAGCTCTGTCTAGCAGGAACTTTTCCCCCCAGCACATGCCAGCCTCAGAGTGGGCCAACCTTAGACTCAGAGTCCGGCGGTCCAGGAGACGCCCTTCCGACCAGCCTACACAGACAGGACCCACAGCCATGGGGGCTGCGACCTTGATAAAGACATCCCCATCCGGCTTCACTGACTGGCAGGCTGTCTCTGGAAGTGGCTCCTCAGGCCCACTCTTGGCCAAATCTAGCGTGACTCATTTGCTCCAGAAAAGGAATATAAATAAGCGCCATCACACCTTGACAAGTTGACAGCGGTGACAAGCAGAGTAAATTCCCATATCTGAGACTCCGAGGAGGAGCGGTGATTTAACAGACCCAGCTGCCGTCACCAGAAGAAAATAATTAAGGAAACCCGATGGTGTAGAGGAAAACCGAGCGGCTGCGGCGGGTCCCTTCTGGTGAAGAGATCTGTCATCGTTGGCTGCAGGAGAGAACCCCCACACACTGGGGGAGAAACAAGCTCCGACGCTCAAGCTGGGGACAGCTGCAGAAATGGATGAGGAAGAGGGGGGCGGCAGGTGGGGAGGGAAATAGGCTCTGCGGCTGACGGGGCCACCCAGGGGCGTTAAATCTAAAAGGCTGTCCTCAGGCCAGGCACCACCACTCACACCAGTTCCACACTCACATGCACACACACACACGTGCAGGGAATGGCCAGAAAGATGGCAAACACTGCCCTTTGCCCTGGGAAAGGCATTCACCTGATCCCCGCCTAAAGGGGATCAGTAGAAGACAGAAGATGCTCAAATTCTGCCTTTGTTCCCACCTCTCTTGGGACTAGGTGAAGGTTCCAGAAAGCTCAGAGAATTTTAGGTTTTTTTGACCCATAGTGGCTTTTGTGGTCTCCCCCTCCTCCACACACAGACACTTGCTTGCTAATACATGAAGGTGTGTGGGCACAGCCTCAGACTGATGAGGTCAAGGTTATAGTGCTGGGAGGATCTAATACTGGACCCTGTGGGGAAATCTCCAGGTCAGGGAAGACCTAAATGCCCCCTTGCTAGCTGGGCTCCTGCCATTGGACACTTGGTCAGGTGTGACCAGGCACAGAGCTTTCCAGAAGTTCCACCTCTCTGCTTGCTTAAGGGATGGCAACTTCTGATTGTGACTATGCTTTTTGGCAAAGCCTCAGGGCACAAATGTCCACCCACATGGCACAGGAGCAGGACAGAACCCCTGACACCCCAGTAGCTAGGCAGGGATTAGAAAGGTGACCCAGAGTGCTGCATGGGATCCCCCAAAGGGAATTCTATGCTTCCAATATCTTCACCCCAAACAGACCAACCATGGCACTAATCAGAATCCTCTCTCTGGCCAGAGGTTCCCCACACTAGAGTTTGTCAACCTGGACTGTTCTGGCTCAGCCCGGGTGAAGGGTCTCCCTGGTGAGCAGAGGGGACATTCTGGTGCTTGGTCAGTGACGTGCAAACCTCTCTCCATCTTCCCCAAGTTATCAGTTAGTGCTTGCTAGGCAGTTACTCTACTCCTGGGCTCCAGGAAGGCCTTTGGAGATGAGCCGGATATGGTGTCTTTCCATGGTAGTCTGACACAGCTGAGAAGATCAAAATCACAAAGTGAATTCCAAGGTCAGAGAACTTCTTGGAGCAGGAGGAGAAAGAGTGTGATCCATCCCAAAGCCCGGTATGGGCCAGATGTGAGTGAAAATATGTCATATTCCAATTACAGAGAATGCACATCAACTAGGACCAGGACATGGCTGACAGGTGTGCAGAGAGATGGACAGAAGGTTATGAACAGTCCTTTTCCTGTGACTAAATAACAGGGTGGGGTGGGGTGGGGTGAAAGGTGGTCTGTGAGATCCCTGAATTCCACTGGGCAGGTTTGTGGGCACACCTGGGCAGCTCCCTATCCACTCCTTCTAGGTCCTATCAGGAGGTGAGATGCAGGTAAGTTAGCATCAGCTGGGAGCCAATGGGAGGGACCATGTCTTTTCTGCACCCCTATTTTCTGTATGGGTGAAGGGTGAAGAGAGTCTAGCACTGAACCAAGCCCACTCCAAGCTCCCTCCAGCCTGGGCATCCACGGACAACAGACTGTAAACCGGTCCCGGGAACCATGAGGTACTTCTGCTGCTAATACTGCCCTCTCCTCTGCTTGCTTTTTAGGAATTAAGTTCAACATCAGACCACAGCAGCCCCATAACGTAAGTTCTGAGAGTCAGATCAATCGCAGCATACACACCCTGGAGAAAGTTGGGGAGAGCAGGGAAACAATTTTTAGGAGCCAATATAAAATCCATTCTTGGAAAGAAAAATGTGTCTAGTCCTTTCCAGGAGCCTTGGGAACAAAGCCCTGGGCCCTGGGTTCATGAATTTCCCTGTCCTGTTAGATGGCTCCTTTGGACGATGCTAATAGACCCAGTAAATCCGAGCCACCTCCTTCAGGCCATCAACTTCCACAGCCCGCTGTGGTCAGGTGGAGGTTTATGGGGGGACTGCGCCATCTAGTGGTGGATATGACACCTGCACCTCACGTACTACCCTACTGTGGGCAGCTGGGTGTGGGATCAGGACACCTGCAGTATCAGCCTGTCTCCCTCTTCCTCACCTGAGAATACCTCTAACCACAAAGGGGCAGAAACCGCTGCTGCGAGGAAGGCATGGTTTGTATGACCTTTGTGCTCAGCTTTCCTCCTGTCCACCTGGTAACTATTTCTCTTTTTGTCTCAGGCACACCCACCGGGCAGTTCCCGGGATGGTGACTTGAAGACATCCACAGAGAAGGTCATCCGGGACTTGTCCAGCCGGACCCCAAGGGACCTCAACGTGAGGGTGCCTGACCAGCCTCAACCGCACCCCAAGATGGGAGCCCGACTGCGACTCCCGCAGCGCCGCCGCCGTCTGCTTATCAAAAAAATGCCAGCCGCGGTGGCCATCCCAGCCAACAGCTCATCAGAGACCTTTATTCGATTGGGGACCCAGGCGCTGGACAGCCATTGGGTCGGCCTGCACCGGAGCCAGCAGGAGCGCAAGCGGGTGATGCAGGAGGCGTGTGCCAAGTACCGGGCGAGCAGCAGCCGCAGAGCCGTCACACCTCGCCACGTGTCCCGCATCTTCGTGGAGGACCGCCACCGTGTGCTCTACTGCGAGGTGCCCAAGGCGGGTTGCTCCAACTGGAAGCGGGTGCTCATGGTGCTGGCCGGGTTGGCCTCATCCACCGCGGACATTCAGCACAACACGGTCCACTACGGCAGCGCCCTCAAGCGGCTGGACACCTTCGACCGCCAGGGCATCCTGCACCGCCTCAGCACCTACACCAAGATGCTCTTTGTCCGTGAGCCCTTTGAGAGGCTGGTCTCAGCTTTCCGAGACAAGTTTGAGCACCCCAACAGCTACTATCACCCTGTCTTTGGCAAGGCCATCCTGGCCCGGTACCGGGCCAACGCCTCTCGGGAGGCCCTGCGGACTGGCTCTGGTGTTCGGTTCCCCGAGTTCGTCCAGTACCTGCTAGACGTGCACCGACCTGTGGGCATGGACATCCACTGGGACCACGTCAGCCGGCTGTGCAGCCCCTGCCTCATCGACTATGACTTCGTGGGCAAGTTCGAGAGCATGGAGGACGATGCCAACTTCTTCCTGAGCCTCATCCACGCTCCACGCAACCTGACTTTTCCGCGGTTCAAAGACCGGCACTCCCAGGAGGCGCGGACGACCGCCAGGATCACGCACCAGTACTTCGCCCAGCTGTCGGCCCTGCAGCGGCAGCGCACCTACGACTTCTACTACATGGACTACCTGATGTTCAACTACTCCAAGCCCTTTGCAGACCTGTACTGAGGGGCGGGGCCGGCTGGCCAGGGGCGGGGCCTGTCCCACCCACTCGCAGGACCTGGGGCATCCCACTCTCCGTGGTCCCTCATCCGGGAGCTGAGACCTACTCACAGCACCAGGGCTCCGAGAATGGGAGGGGCTGAGTCTCTCGGAGGCAGCAGGCCCGTGGAGAAGAGAGGCTCAAGGCCTTGGATGGGGACCCTGGCCCTTGTCCCATACCCACTTCCTAACTTCTTGCCTGAGGGAGAGGCCCCATGGACTCAGTCAAGAGTCCCGATGACCAGGGAAGTCTGAGGCCCAGAGGATGAGGGCCCCAGCGGTAAGGGACTTCCTGCAGTCCCTTAGCCATTGCCTTGTACAAACCACATGGTTTGCAGCTTTTCTATGAAGGGGGTGGGTGTGGGGGAATAAAGCACATGGTTTTCAGAGCAGCGGTGTCTCCTGTGCGTGGTGGTGTGGGAACACGTGGACCTTCCCCCTTGCCTTCTGGAGTTCTCTCTGCCTCCTTAGGACGGCCTGAGCCAAGCAGCTCCAGCCCTGGTACAGGGGAGCCTGAGGCAGGAGTATCCCAGATGGGAGGAGATAGGCCTGTCACCACAGAGGCCCTTGTCACTGCATCTTCCAATGGGCCCTCTGAGGACTGCCAGAGCAGTGGCAGGCCTCTGTCAGCTGCAGATTAGGGCTACCTACCCCTGGGGCCCATGGGGCACTGGGTGTGGTTCTGCAGGTGGGGAGGGATGCTACCCCAGCCTCTGAACCTCGGGGCTAGGCGGGGGGTTGGCCTAGGGTTTTCACCTGCAGACCCCCAACTCTGACCATGACACTTGGTCACCTGACAAGACCACCTTAGGGCTTCTGGGATTTTCGGTGCCTGGTTGAAGCAGTTCTAGGGGGAAAGCGGGAGAAGCTATGGAAGAAACTACTTCCAACACACACATTTCACGCCAGAAATGGTTCTGAAATTACCAGAAGCCAGGGTGATGCTGGAAAGGTCTCCGAGGGAGTGTTTGTTGGGGCTTAGAGTGTGGGTGTGACTGCACTGTGTTTGGATTTTGTCATCGGAGGGAAGTGCTGCCTGCCTATGGAGGTCTCGCTGTCAGCCTGCGTCTGCCAGGAGCCTCTGCCTGCCCTTCTGAATGGCTCTGTGGGCGTCTTTGCCGTCCCTTCCAGGAGATGGCTCTCAGTCTGTTCCCACTGGCCAGTAGAGCTGCAGCCAGACCCTGGGAGGAGACAGAGATGGATGCCGTGGGCGGGGCTGGATTCCAGCCAGGCACGCCCTGGCTTCTCCCTTCCCGCCTCTCCCATGGGCTCTGAAACCTTGCACGGGCAGAGCCTGGAGCTGAGGCTACCTCCTGCCTCCCTCCTCAGGTCCATGTTCACCCAGGAGCCCAAGCAGGGGTGCGCCTCCTCTCTGGCTCCAGCTGCAATTGGAGCAGAGGGGCAGGGAAGAGACTGTGGTTCAGGCTTGAGGGGCTCAGGACTCAGGGAAGGCAGGAAGGCAGATGCCAAGGGGCTCAGAAAGACAGAGGCGGGCCCACACCTGGTCAGGGCCTATGAGAGGAGGCAGGGAGGGCCCCGGCTGACAGTGACCCCGAGACAGCTGCCCCTGGGCTGTGGGGCTCGGAGTGGGACTGAATTCATGATGCAGGAAGAGGGTCTCTGGTCATGGATGCATTTGGTGAAGCCTGAGGCAGAGTGTCACATGTCATCTGCTCAGCAAGGGAACACCTGGAGGCCCAGCTGGGATAGCCTGCAGGCAGCTTTACCCCATGCTGCTGCTTAGAGACAATCAGGATTGCCCTGGGCCACCCTCACCCCCACTGTGTGTGTGTGTGTGTGTGTGTGTGTGTGTTGGGGGCAGGATAAGACATCCTCATTGGGTCACCTCTCAGAGACACCCAAGTCTGGATGGATGGACACACACAACTCATTTTTCAAAGGGGCTTTCTTTCCCAGTGGTAACAACAGCAGGCACAGGATCCAGACAATGACCATAATGACCACTTATTGGCCTCTAGCGTGACCTCTTACTGGAGGCCAGAGGCCCAGCCCTGAGGCTCCACCTGGAATTCACTGAAGTGGTGCTGGATCCAGTTCCAGAGCCAACCCCACCCCAAGCTTCATAGGGATTAGGGAAGGTGGATTCAACCCCAACACAGGGACGCATGTGTCTCTGTGTGTCTTACACGGTGTCTGGTCCGGTGCTGTGGGAGTAGGTGGGTGTGAGCACAGGAGTCAGTGTGCCTGCCTGTGTGTATGTGTGTGCGGGGGAGGTATTTGTGTCTGGAGGAAGGTGGGCATGCACATGTATAAGCCTGTTTGTGATGGGGATGTGACTGTGGACTCTGGGTCCCTCTCTGAGACCGTCTCCTTCACCCTTCCTGACCCTGACCCATTTGCTCACCACTTCTTGGGTACAGTCTGGAGGGCACCATTTGACCATGTCCCCAAGAAGGGGCCACAGACAGCTCCCAGAGGTCAAGTAGGCCCATTGATTTGTGAGAATAACTGTCAACTCCCAGTTGGGGCTTCTCTGGAACAGCCCCCAGTGAAATTCCCATTGGGCCTTTGGCCTTGGCTGGCTGAAACCTCCCGGATGTGAGCCTTGCTCTTTGAGAGGTGAAGAAAACAGACATCCCCAGCCGAGGGTCCTTCCTGGGGCCAGAGAGCCCCAGGGCCTTGAGTCTCCTGGGGAGATAAGACTCAAGGCCCAGACTGTAGACAGGTATGAGTCAGGCAGCTCTGGCCTCTGAGACAGGCCTCCCTGCCCTCTCCATGTGGCTTGGTGGTCCCTACAGTCCTGTCCAAGGGGCCCAGGGCAGGGTCAGGCAGGCAGTGGACAGAGGGACAGTCCTCCGGCACTGTCCCCCACTCTCAGCAGGGCTGTTTGCCAGTTTGATCCTCAGGGGTGAGCTGCCTCACTGGGGGATGTGAACCCGGCCCTGAGGACTAAAGGCCACCTCCTGTCCCTGCCCTCATCTCCACCCTTTCCTCTCCAGGGAGCTGGGGGCAGTGTGGTCTGGGCTCAGATACTGCCCCCATCCCTGGGGACCCCATGCATCCTGGGTGGGAATTAAACAGTGCTCTGGATGATCCCCTGGGGAGCCTCATCCCCCAGGTGTGGGGCGAGGACATTGTGAGTCCTGGCTACGGTACTGGAAGGGGCCAGCTCCTGCTCCTGGCTCAGATTTGTCGAGAGGCCAGTGCTGCTCCCGGCTCCTCCCACTGCCCAGAGGGACCCTTTGCACAAGGGGCTCCTCTGTGAGGTGGAAGCAGAGGGAAGCCAGGGGGCTGGGCTGAGGTCACTTGGGAACAGATGGACCTGTCCCCCCCTGGCTCTTGGGCTGGCTTGAGGAAGTGAGGAATAGAGCAGGCTAAAAGTCTTAAAGACTAGGTCAAGGGACAGAGGTCAGCAGTGAGTCATTCCCAATCTTGGGCTTGCCACATTGTCTGATGTGCTGGCCCGAACCAGGAGCTCACGACCGCGCCAAGTGGGTATTGTGCTGTGCCCTCACGTGCATTGCCTGATTCACCTATCCAGCGGCCCTGTCCAACCACACGACACCGCCCCTTACAGATGTGAGGCTGAGGCACCAGAGGCTTGGCCAGAGCTGCACTGCAGCCTCAGGAATTGGAGCTGGGACTTCCCCTGCAGACTGGCTGAGCCCTCCCCCACCCCTAACCCTGTAACATCTGCGTGGTCCCCACAGGCACAGTGACCATCCTTGACCACCAGGTGGGGCTAAGACCGTGCGGCTGAGCAGCTACCTTGCTATCCCTGGCTGGGCCACGAGGTGGCAGCAGTACTCCAATTGTGCACAGCTCTTGAGGATGGTGCATCCCCCAGGCCTGAAGGACCTGGCACTCCCAGCCTCCCTACCATGGGGCGGCTGGGCCCTGCCTCCCATTTTCTCTGGACTGACCCCAGAGGTTACTCTCCAATATGCCAGCTCCAGGGTCCCACCTGCCCTAATACCAAACTCCCCAACACCCCCAATGCCTCTCACCCATCACATGGGCCTAGGGTAGGGGCATCAATCACTTGCAAGGGCATGGGCTCCACTCTACAGGACAGGGATGTCAGGCTTTCTTGGACCTCGTGAGGACACACACATGCAAGCACACACACATGGAGACACACACAGACACAGACACACACCAGCACATACACAGCAATTGCACACCACACACACATTCACATCCTTACACACATGCAGACACAGATGCACATAGACACACATATAGACAGACACACATGGACACAGGGCACACGCCACCTCTTACGCTATTGAAATAAACAGGAAGGACCAGAAAGTTCCCTGTCTTGTCAAGTGTACACTCTGCACTGAATCCCGTTCTCTATCTCCTGGCCCCTATCAGAGCTTTCTCTTCTCACCACCCCCCACAGGACCCCAATCCCTTTGCCTCTACTTCAAAGATATCACCCAGGTTGCGCCTCCCCTCTCTGCATGCCTCAGGCTTTCCCTGCAATCACCCCATCTTAGAAAACAAAAAGACCTCAGCCCCAAGTCCCCTTCCAGCACTTGGCCATTTCTGTCCTCTCCTTCCCAGCAAAACATACCCTTCTCTGTCTCTCAGGTGTTCCACCAGGGCCACACACCTTTTCCTCCTCCAGCCTCACCTCTCCCACCTCCCCATCTCAGCCCATCACACCTGTATCAACCCTGCCTTCCTCCCTCTCGCCCTGCCCAAGGGTGCCCTGCCCAAGGGTGCCCTGAATCTGTGCTCCTTCTCCCTCTCCAATGCTGTCATCTTAACATGAGCCACTGAACTCTCCAGCCTCGGCTCCTGAAGCAATAAGAAATAGCTACGATGTTGACCAGTGTACCAGCTACTATTGCTCTAAGTGTTTCATATATGCATTATCTTTTTGAATCCTCATGACAGCTCTGTAGGATGGGTAGAGTACAATTACATTCTCCCCATTTTTGACAGATAAGGAAATTGAGACACAGAGAGGTTAAACAATTTGCTCTAGGGCGCAC